CCAGATATGATGATTCTCAAAAAGAAAAAAAATGCTTTTCCATACTCCAGACACAGTTCACCATCCTCCCCAAACCACTGAGAATCTGTAATAAGATGGTTCGTACAGGACATAGATGCACATGAACACAGTAAAATGCCTTCTCCATATTTTGTTAGTTGGTAATTGATATCAAAGGCTTGCCTGATGCCAAAATTTCTCATAACGCCCACTAACATCCTGAGACAATTAATTTATCAAGTTAATTAGCTTCACCACTCCCAAAGTAGAATCTTAGAAAGGGAAATACAATAAAGGCAGATTTAACAGTGGTGATGAGAAAAACTGCCACTCAAAAGTGTTGCCATGAGATCTTGAACAACCAGGTTATAAGAAGAGTATACTAAAGTTTTCAGGGTAGGTGTAAAGAGGCAAACTAGGAATTAGGGAATTACTGAAGACAAATTTTAAATTGAACAGTTTTGCCTGGGCAGAGTCGTTACATATAAGTTAAGAATTTGCTGATCAAAAATCCCAAAACAATTAGTTCATAATTGAAAGCACTTCATACAAAACATGCTTATAGAAACCAATCATAGCTGTGCCATTACTACAAAGCTACAGTAATCAGGACAGTGTGGTGCTGCCATAAGGATAGACCTATACAGACCAACAGAATGGAATTTAGGCCAGAAATAAAGTCTCACATGTCAAGGATGCCAAGACAATTCAATGAGGAAAAGAACAGCCTTTGTCAATAAACGGGTGTTGGGAACACTGCATAGCTATATGCAAAAGAATAAAGCCTAACTCCAACCTCATAATATACGCAAATTAATTCAAAATATACAAAAACCTAAATGTCAGAGTTAAAACCGTAACTCTTACACAAAAAAAGGTGGAAATCTTTGTGATCTTGGATTAAGCAACGCTTTCTTAGATGTGACACCAAAAGCAACAAAAAAAAAAGTAAATTGGACTTTCATCAAAATTGAAGACTTTTGTGCTTCAAAGTATAACATAAAGTGAAAATACAATCCACAGAATGGGAGAAAAATTTTGCAAACCATATATCTGATAAGGAACTTTTATCTGGTATATATAAAGAACTTTTAAAACTCAATAATTAAGACAACCCAATTTAAAAATGGGCAAAGGACCCAAATAAACATTTCTCCAAAGAAGAGATACAAACTGCCAATGTACACATGAAAATTTGGTCAACATTATTAGCCATCAGGGAAACGCAAATCAAAGCTATAAGGAGATACCAGTTCACACCCACTAGGATGGCTGTAATCCAAAGCAGATAGCAAGTGTTAATGAGTATTGAGAAATTTGGAACTCTCATACGCTGCTGATGGGATTGGCAAACAGTGCAGCCACCTTGAAAAACTGTTGGTGCCTCAAAAGGTTAAACAGTTACCACCTGACCCAGCAATTCAACTCCTAGGTATGTATTTAAGGAGAAATTAGTGTCCACATAAAAACTTGTGCAAAATGGCCAGGCGCGGTGGCTCACGCCTGTAATCCGAGAACTTTGGGAGGCTGAGGCAGGCAAATCACAAGGTCAAGAGATCAAGATCATCCTGGCCAACATGGTGAAACCCTGTCTCTACTAAAAATACAAAAATTAGCTGGGTGTGGTGGCACGCGCCTGTAGTCCAGCTACTCAGGAGGCTGAGACAGGAGAATCAGTTGAACCCAGGAGGCGGAGGTTGCAGTAAGCCAAGATCATGCCCCTGCACTCCAGCCTGGCAACAGAGCGAGACTCCGTCTCAAAAAAAAAAAAAAAACACACACACACACACAAAAAAAAAACTTGTACAAAATGCTCAAAAAACAGCATGACTTATAATAGGCAACAAGTGGAAATTCAAATAAATGCCCATCAGTGATTCATGGATAAATAAAATGTGGTATATCCATATAATCAATGCTAAAGTACCGACACATGCAACATACATGAACCTTGAAAACATTAGGTTGTCAAACAGGCCAGTCACAAAAGACCACATATTATATTATTTCATTTATATAAATGTCCATAGCAGGCAATAAGATAACCAGAAAGTAGATTACCAGTTGCCTGTGTTAGAGGTTGGCATTAGGAGAAAATGGGAGCCAGGCACGCAGACACAACTCCAGCTACTCCAGAGGCTGAGCCAGGAGGATGGCATGAGGCCAGGAGCTCAAGGCTGTAGTGGGCTATGATAACACCACTGCCCTGCAGCCTGGGAAACAGAGTGAGACCTCGTCTCTAAAAAATAAAATGATCCAGGCACAGTGGTTCATGCCTGTAATCCCAACACTTTGGGAGGCTGAGGTGGGCAGATCACCTGAGATCAGGAGTTCCAAACGGTCTGGTCAAAGTGATGAAACCCCGTGTCTATTGAAAATACAAAAATTAGCTGGGCGTGGTGGCTCATGCCTGTAATCTTAGATACTCGGGAGTCTGAGACATGAGAATCTCTTGAACCTGGCAGGCAGAGGCTGCAGTAAGTCGAGATTGCACCATTGCACTAAAGCCTAGGTGATGGAGCAAGACTCTGTCTCAAAAATAAAAATAAAAAATAAAATAAAACGGGAAGTGAGTGCTAATGGGTAAAGGGTTTCAGTCTGGGATAACGACTACTTTCTAAAATCGATTGTGGTGATGGCTGCACAACTTCGTGAATATACAAGAGCACTGAATTGAATAGTTTCTGTATGACTCATATCTCAATAAGGCTGTTATCTTTTTAAAGTCTTTCAGGGAGTCAGCTAAAAGGCCTGCTGTATGGACTCCATGTGCCACGGTACTAGGAGGGAGGCTCTGGTGATCACTTGAACACTGCAGGCTAGTCCTGCCCCCACATCCAGCCTTGGACTGAGCTACCCCTTGGTCCTGAGCTTTTAAATGTTTCTTCCCTGGACCAGGCGCAGTGGCTCATGCCTGTAATCCCAGCACTTTAGGAGGCCAAGGCAGGTGGATCACTTGAGGCCAGAAGTTCGAGGCAGCCTGGCAACATGGTGAAACCCCATCTGTACTGAAAAAATAAAAATTACCCGGGTGTGGTGGCGGGCTCCTGTAATCCCAGCTACTTGGGAGGCTGAGGCATGAGAATCGCTTCAACCTAGGAGGCAGAGGTTGCTGTGAGCCAAGATCACACCACTGTACTACAGCCTGGGCAAGAGTGAGACTCAGCTCAAAAGAAAGTTTCTTCCTGCATCTCCAAAACTATAGCTCCCTACAGAGCCACAGGTGAGCCAGCCGCAGTTCTTGAACCTGCCTCAACCTCAACCCAGAGGCCCAGCAGGCAGGAGGGCCTGGTGGGAAGGCTGTCCATTTCTTTACCTGAAGTGGTCAGCAATAAGGCAAAAGGTACCGAAAATAAAGATTCAACAAGAGCTGTGTCAGGACAACTAGTTACAGGATGAATGTTGATATTTGTATGTACAGTCAAAGATGTGGCATTAAAATTCCAAGCCCTTTAACAAGTTGTGCTTAAAAGTACTAAAACGCTTCTCACGCAGGTATGTATTCATTCTTTTCAGGTCCTATTTTAATCCGTCACATTTATAGTAGTCAATATAAAAGAATTTTGGAAATGATCCATTTTTTATTCAAATAGAACCACATTTAACAATCAAGGTCATGTGGCACAGAAACGAGCTTGGTTTTAGACTCGGATAGTTCATTGCCAGCAGCCATTAAAGCAATGTTCTTGACCCAAGACCAGATAAAGAGAAGGGACACAAGCAATCCGTTTTCAAGTACACGTTACGTTTTATTCAATAATAGTATGTCTTCATAAAACCACTCTGTGAATGAAACAAACTGGATTTTTTTTTTTTTTTTTTTTTTTTTGAGACAGAGTCTTACTCTGTTGCCCAAGCTGGAGTGCTGTGGCATGATCTCAGCTCACTGCAACCTCCACCTCCCAGGTTCAAGCAATTCTCCTGCCTCAGCCTCCTGAGTAGCTGGGATTACAGGCACGCACCACCATGCCCAGCTAGTTTTTGTATTTTTAGTAGAGACATGGTTTCACCACGTTGGCCAGGATGGCCTCGATCTCTTGACCTTGTGATCCACCTGCCTTGGCCTCCCAAAGTGCTGGGATTACAGGCGTGAGCCACCATGCCCAACCAACAAACTGGATTTTAAAAGGCAGTGGGGGCATAAGGAGGGCTGCTTCAAAATCCACCCCAGTCACCATGCTGAATAATCGTATCGTGTTTATATCATAAAGTGAAGTTGTAGTCGCATCCCAGTGTTGAGTTCACCTGCTGAACCCTGACCCCTTTCCCTGCCCTACTCATCCTGCAAATAGAAATCCTACTTCCAAGGGAATCCATTTGTCTTTCTTCCCGTTACTGTGGTTCAAGAACTGATATTACAGCTGTAGAAAGCTATCCAATATTTAAGGATTTAAATCACAGAATCCTGTAACTAAGCCCTTCTTTAAAGAAAGAAAACCAGTTCTTTTTTATGCCATTTATTTAGAAAAAACCATTTGCCCCTAGTGAATATACTAACCTTATTTAAACAAATATAAGTGAGGGAAGTAAGAACTGATTTGAGGAATGAGCCTGGGATCTAAGGCCTGCCACACATCCCTGACCTTCAACTTATCTTTCCAGTCTTCCCCCACCACTGCTCTACCCACCTGAGATTCTAGGTGGAGCAGTCCACAGGTAACTCTGAATGTGGTTCCAGCTTCCCTTGCCTCACACTCTTGCTCATAACATTTCCTTTCCTTGGAAACACTGCCTGTATCTCAGCCCCATTCAGTCTTTACTTGTTCACATCAGATTCTTCTTTCAAAACCCAGTGGAAAAGCTCATTTTCTCATGTAGCCTTACCTAACTCCATACGTCTAGAAACTCGTGCAAACTCATGCCACAGCACAGCCAGCAGCAACACAGGGTCAGCATGGCACTGAGAGCAAGCACAAAGGACACAGGGCCACTTCACTGTCTCCACTTGAAGAACGTAAGGTCTGTATTGTAAGGTCTGTATGGGTGAGGGCTGTACAGACTTAAATATTATAGCAACCATTTATTAAAAGTATTCATCTGCTTCTAAGTTCTATAAACAAGTTTAATGCAAACATTCAGTAAGGCATCTTTCCCATTTCTCCCAAGATTTCATCTCTTTCTGCTGCCGTAGGCATAAATGGCTTCACTCCGTTGTGTCTTCTCTGGATCATGATAGAATGCTGTGTACAGGCATTAAAATAAAAAAGAAGAAACCAAAATCAGTCATGTATTAAATGCTAATCATTTGCCAGTGATTTGCTATTGCTTCCTCAAAAAGTTAATTCTAAAAACCAAGTTTTAAAAAAATCTAAAACCTAATACTAGGACTCCAGATAAACGTTTTAAAAATATTAACAATTAAATAGAAGTAGTCATTCCCATAGGAATACATTAACAGCAATTGGGATGGGAATATACAAAGTACAAAACACAGAAGCATATACAGTCCATCAAGAAGAGCTACTGAATAATTGTGCATCTAGCAAAGGTAAAGGAAATAGCAGGATCCAGTGCTTCAAGGAAACATAAATTATATAGCAATGTCTTCAGAAAAATGGACCATTTTAACTACCATGGATGACACTGAAAGAGAAAAAGGCAGAAATGGAAGCCTAACATGATGTTATGTTGAGGGAAGTTAAACATTCTGTTCATCTCCAAGAAAGCTAAATGTATAACAAAGACATTGTTTTAGGGGTACAGATAGTTAAAAGCCTAGGAAGACCCACCTATATTAAAACTGCATTCTTACAGCTTAGAGGATGATGAGGCAGCTAACAAGAGCTCTCAAGGATCTTTTTGGGCTAAAGCAGTGCACAGAGGATAAAGCTGAAGTTAGGTTTCCCTGCAGCCATGAGTGGGAAAGGATTGTGGGTACTGACTAATTTTTGGCTTCAGTTTCAAGCCCAGGAGATGGGTTTTAACACAAAACTAACCAATCTAGGCTTACCCAGAATTTCCGGCAGCTTTTGTACTTCAGAAAGTAAGTAGAACACTTGTCCTTGTCATAGTTATTTGCATCCAGACATCTGATGGAAGCATCAGATTCCTTACAGACGTAAGACAGGCATCATTTAAAAGGTAGAATGGGATCTAAAAGCAAACAAACAAAAAAACTGCTTCCCCAGAAGCAAATAATGTGAGACAGTCCATTTGTGTTTATTTTTATGGGTAGACCCTAATAAAAACTGGACAATCTCACCAACAATCCCAGTATGCACTGTGCTCAGGCTAACACCTTCCTTTCTATAATCTGCGCCAGTTTTCTGAATATATGGTCACAGGAATTTGAGGCAAATAACTGTGATCAATTAATCCAGTAACCATTTTAGTAAGAAACTGAGGCAAGGTGCAATGTGTTAAATCACTACTGCACAGCTAGAATCAGAACCCGTCTCCTGACTCTCAGTGCATCTCTCCTGCTTTTCCAGATTTTCACTTCGGCCTGAATGTTTGATCATAACGTTGGTTTCAAGATTCCAAGGAAATCACTAATAACTGGTCGACATCAAGACAACCTAAATTAACACCATTCATCTCAATGTATTTTTGGCTACCATTTTACTCCATTACACAAATACACTATTATATAAGCAATTTTAATAGGTATCACTTCAAAACCAAAGTCAACAACACAAGGCTATAAGTTCAAAGGAAAGTAGATGCCACATGGGGATTAAATTTAAGCTGTGTGAACTGGAAGTACATTGGATAACAAACTTAAAAGTGAAAGGTATGATTCTGTGATGTCATCTAAAGCAGGGGTCGCCAACCCCCAGGCCACAAAGGGGTACTGGCCTGTGGCCTGTTAGGAACCTGGCCAGATAGCAGGAGATGAGCAGTGGACAAGTGAGCCTTACCGCCTGAACTCCCCTTCCTGTCACATCAGTGGCAGCATTAGATTCTCAAAGGAGGGTGAACCCTATTGTGAACTGTGAGGGATCTAGGTTGCAAGCTCCTTATGGGAATCTAATGCCTGTTGACGCCCGCCCCCTTCCCCGTCTGTGGAAAAATTGTCTTCCACAAAACTGGTCCTTGATGCCAAAAAGGTTGGGGACCACAGATCTAAGGGAAGGCTTTAACTACATGAGTAAATAATTTGCATCTCAGATCTAAGAAACATGTTCTGCCTAAACAGAACAAAGCTAAATTGCTATGCCAAATATTTAATGAATGTATATACTTGGAAAATGCATGTAACAAAAGAGTATAATTTTCATTGTACCAGTATGATAACTACATTATTCAAAGGTAGTGAATCCACAAGTATTGCAAATCATACCAAATAAATGCCAACAAAAGCTTACCCTTAAAACATTTTATGAGCTACCTTTGTGAAAACCTTTAGGCTTTAAATAGGCTAATTCTATTATCAGCGCATTACCCTCAGCCAGGTTGTCAAGGAGATGATGATATTATTACTAGTGAAACAATAATGTCAGTGACAGTTTAAAAATATCATACCTTCCAGTTTTCCACGTTTGGACTAAATATTCTCAGTGGTACATATTCCTGTCTGGTTTTACAGTGACAACCAAATGCTTGCAAATTATACAAATAAGGAAAACTAAAGAAAAGATGAATGTTTGTTAGAGAAATTATAAACATCGAAAACTGCTCTAGTAAAATAGGACATGCTAGCCAGCAATATTTTTTGTAGAAAAAATAACTTTATTCAACAACTGCAGAAAACAAATGCCCACAAAACTGAAGCCGCCTGTTTTTCCAACTTAACCCTCATGAAAATTAAAGCAAACCATCCTACCAACATGCAAGGATTTATGTCAGGATCTCTCAGCCTCGGCATTTCCAAGGGTATCCTAATAGTCTTCTCACTGAGGGTAGACAGAAAAAAAATAATTACATAGTAGATGACAGAAAATAAATCAATACCTCTCAACAGCCCTAAAAGTATCTGAAATTTTGATTTTGGCACAATGATCGTTTAGTGAGGAATTTCATGTATCCCCTGTATTTTGTGAATAAAAACTTGAACGTGTTTTTCCTTTGTATTGCCATGACTTAACACAAAGGCCATATATTGGATTGAAATGTATCTACGGTCCGGGCGTGGTGTCTCGTGCCTGTAATCCCAGCACTTTGGGAGGTTGGGGTGTGAGGGCTGCTTAAGCTCAGGAGTTCAAGATCAACCTGGGCAACATAGCAAAACCCCATCTCCACCAAAAATACAAAAATTAGTCGGGCGCCGTGCCACGTGCCTGTGGTCCCAGCTACTTGGAAGGCTAAGGTGGAAGGATCACTATAGCATGGGAAGTCAAGGCTGCAGTGAGCTGTGATTGCACCAGTGCACTCCAGCCTGCGTGACCGAGAGACCTGTCTAAGAAAAACAAAAAAAGAAAGATGATTCAATTATAATTCAGCTGTGGCTTACTCTTATTCTTAAGTTTAAGCAACTAAATGTATTAATAAAACTGAAGAATACAGTATGCATTCCAACAATTACTTCCTTATTACAGAGCAATTAGCATACAAAATAAGAATGGAATGCAGTACAGTCCAACTTTAGCAAAAGCATTCATCAACTAAAGTACCAGAGTGCCTATTTTATGGCCAATACTAGGGTAGCCAACACACCAAAAAGTCAAGTTATCCCTTAGCTGACAATTGCAAAGTGATAGTGTTTAAAAAACAAACAAGTTGAAATTTTACTTCCAGTGGCATCTTTTTAACTGATTATTTCCCTGGGTTGCAGACATCAGGGAATGCTACTGTGCTTCAGTAACCTTCCAATTCAATTCCTAGAGATACAGCTTTGCAAAAGTCTTTATTGATTAAAGATGATAGCATTCCCTCAGAGCCAATTCATCATTCCAAGTCAAGTCATATACTCATGTAATAGGTATGTCAACTATATCCTAGGATATAGTTGCTCTCTATAATGGAATTCAATTGAAATTGGTATTCCTATTATCTTCGAAGAAATGTTGTAGAAAGAAGAAAATTCAAAAACCAATAGTCATAATTATTTCAAAGTAATTTCAGTCATGTAAAAAGAAATGAAGCATATTCAGGAAAAACAAACCCCATAAATTCCTGAAAAGTGGAGGTAGACTCAATCAAGAGTAACCCAGCCCAATTCTACAATGGACAGATCAGGATGCGCTCGCCAAAGGAGACCAGCCTTTGTAAAAAAAGAATGGGAAAGGGTTTGGTTATTTTGGGGTCCTTTAAGTAATCACTGAATAATAATTTTATAAGTTTCACTGAACAATACAAGACAATATACAGTAAACAGAAACGTCTTGGCAAAAAAGAAATCAAGATGCTGTTCAATTATATCTACAAGCTTCTTTCTCTCCTGAAGACAGGTTTTTTTTCAGGCTTGACTTCTTCCTAAGAGAGATGATGGCACTAAGTAAATTCACAGCTTTCTTTTTCTACATCTATCCTATGATGTGAGAACACAAAACTCTTCTTAGCTGTTCATACACCTTAGATGTAATAATCTCAACAAGGATCTGACAGACAACCTTTCATTAAATGCAAGTTTCGTGCCTTACATGAAAGTATCCTACTCTGTATTTTATTGTCATCAGTCAGAAATTTTTAAAAAATAATACCTAGGTAACATCACATATACCCAGTTCAAGTTTGCTGCATGAGTTTCATTTCATTTCCTTTTCCTTCCGGATTCTAATACAAGACATTCTAAGTTTGGATTTCCGAAAGTCCCCTCCTTTCCATGAGTTCCTTATGTATTAACTGGAATTGAAGAGGAAATGTCAATTTACAGTGAGGAGCGGGGCTGAAGTGCAAGATCGAGTGCTCCGCTAAAGAGGCCTTATCTATTACTTTTTGAATGTACTAAACAAATGTTACAAGGCTCTACTACTTGCAGAGGACAGCCAGAAAGAAAAACCCAGCAAAGATTTGAAGGAGGGGCCACAAAACCACAGCACATTCGGGGATTAACTCTAAAATCCACTCCAAAGGGCAAACCGCTTAATAAAGCAGTTCTTGATTTACCATGCAGTGGTTCACGTCCCCCCTCTCCAAGTAGCTTTGAAAGGACGAAGGGAAGGGACCATTTCTGAACACGTTCATGCCCACACGCCCCGTGGTCGGAGCCCGGGCACGGTCCGCGGCTCTGCTAAACCCGGAAGCTGCACACACCGTGCCGGTAACCCACCGCCAGGTGCAGAGGGGCAAGGGCAAGAAGTCAAGGGTGGCCTGCCAGAGGTGGACAGGCAAGGCGAGGAGAAACGAGGGGCGATCCCGAAGCCTCGCCGCCTTCCGCGGTGCAGCCTGTCAGCGTCTGATCCTGACCGGCGCGCACAGGTGAACATACCTTGCTGTGCCCTGCGACTGTGCCCAGAGGGACAGGGGGCGAGGAAAACGCAGGGAACTGGGGGTGAGGCCGGCAACTTCAAAGGCTGCCGAGGAGAGTGGAGGAAGAGCTGGGGTTGCCCGGACTAGGCAGGGGTCACCTTCCTCGCCCCCGGAGCGAACTGACCAGTGTTGCCGGAGGAAGAGCAACCGGAGGAGGTTCGCCCTGCGGCGAAGCCTGGAGGAGCGCCTCCGCGCCGCAGAAGTGGATTTGGGCCCCGCTACGGCCCAGGGGCACCCCTCTCTTTCCGCTTTACTGAGGCCGCCGTGGAGGTAGGGCGGGGGAACCACTCACCTCGGGCCTCCGCTTCGCCAGCACCCAGGCCGTCTCCAGCTCCAAACACGTCAATGGCTCACGCAGCAGGACCTTAAGTAGAGCGCATCCGAACTTGCTGCCCCCGCTCCCCGGCGACCAACCGCCCAATTGGCGCGCGCCGCCGTCAGACTGACAGCAGCGAGGGGCCCTGTGCCGCAGGGGCGGGCGGGCTTCGCCCCGCCCCCGGCTGGCGAAAGGAGGGCCGAGGCGGGAGGAGTGGGCGGGGCGGTGCGCGCGACCCCGCCCTCTTTCCCCCGCCCCGCCGCGCCCCCCAGGCGCGGCCGGTCTCTTAACACCTCCGCTTGACGGGCGGTGCAGTAGCCCAATAGGCGAGCCGGCTCCCGGCAGCGGCGGCGCCGAGTGGCCGGCCCCGGGGGCGGAGCGCGCCAGGGGCGGGGGCAGCGGCGGGCGGGGATCGGGGGCGGGCTGACGGGAGGCGGGGGCGGCGGCCTAACAGGCCGGGGGAGGCGGCGGTGGGCGCGACGTCGGCGGCGGCGGCGGCGGCGGCGGCGGCAGCTGCAAGTTGGGCTGCAGGGGCAGCGCATACACTACAATGGCTGCTGGAAAGAGGCGTAAGGAAACAATTTCCAGGCCCGCCGCGTCCAGCCCGAAATATGAGAAAAAAATTATTAGAAATTCCGCGGGCGGTGTAGAGGCGGCGGACGGGCCGGAGGGAGGATGTTAAAGCCCCGCGGTGAGTTCTCCGGGGGTCCGGGGCGGCGGCGAGGCGTTTAGCGGGAGAAATATCAGGGTTATTTAAATTATGGGACTAGCCGAGGGGGCAGAGGAGCAGCGGCGGCGGCAGGAGGAGGAAAAGTTTGTGCTACTCTCAGCCCCTGCTCAGGACCCCAGAGAGAAAAATAATAATAAAAAATAAAATAAAATAATTACGCGGGGCTGCGAGGACTCCCGAAGTCGCTTCTGACAGGGCAGGGGGCGATGCGGCTGGGGACCCGAAGGTGAGGTCGGTGGGAAAAAAAAAAAACCCTTTATTCAGGGTCTGGAAAGTTTGAAAAGTTTTCCTCCTCCTCCTCCTCCTCCTCTCTGGTGCTGTGAATATTGTGACAGCGGCAGCGGCAGCAGCGAGAGCGGAAGACATTAGAGACCCGAAAAATAAGGGAAAAATTAATATAAATTCAGTTTTGAGAGTAAACTCTCCGCATTTTCCACCAAAACATCCCGGGGGAAGGTCCCTTCCCAAAGGGCCTGGCGGAAACCCGCAGTCGGCAATATTTGGGGGGCACTTTGAGTGACTTGGGGTAACTTTGCCCCTTTTTCAAAAGAGGTTTTTCTTTTCTGGAGAAATGAATTTGTTTTTGCCCTTTCCTCAGGTGGGCAAGCCGGGGTCGGGGTGCGGGGTCTGCGGGGAGGTGTGAGCCTGGGGTGTGTGGCTGCGAGGGGGGGTAGGGGGAGGGGGTGCTAAATGAAAGCAGGAGATCGGCACAGAGCAGGGACAGCTTGTTGTCAGTATCATAAACAACCAAAATGGAGGGAGAACTCAGGCATATAACCAAATAAAAATTTTTAAAAAATCGCAAAAAATCCCTAAAAATCCGGGATGCTCCCCCTTTTCTCGCTAAAGGTAAAAGTATGTACCGCCTTTCCCCTGAAGTCCATTTTGACTTTGCAGGGACCAAGGAGTTAATATTTATTTATTTTTTAAAACTTTCGAAGGGCAAAAGCCTTTTATAACTCAACCGACAATGAGAAAACGTGAAAATCCGATGCAAGAGAAGCAGGGGGAGCGAGGGGGGAGATGGTAGTGCAGAAACTGCTAAACTTATTGGTAATGTGGACTGATCTGAGATAAGATAAACACTATATTTTCTATTTTATAACTCTCTTTTAATGATCTTTGCGGGGTTTTTTTGGGTGGAAAAAAAGTGATGCCATTTTCTTAATAGAGTTAATATGTGTGATTGGAAGAAGAAACCTTTCCGGCTCTAGATTACATTTTCGTCGCATTTATGCTTCAGGTTTTGTTAGTGGCTCCCTCCTTTCTTTAAACTGGGCTCTGCAGAGGAGGGGTAGAGAGGTGATGGTGCTCAGAGAGGCTGGAGTGCAAGGCTGGAGTACCTTTTGGGGAGGGGTGTGGAGTTGCTTGGTTTCCCCCTTCCTGACACGTTTGCTTCACCTGTTCGTCCTTCCTAAAGAATGTTAAGCTGAGGTTTTCTGGTTTTATGTATATAAAAGGGTGATGTCTCTTGCATCACATTGATGTTAATGGGAAAGTGCTGCTGATGTTGGTTCCACGTGGGATATGGGACAGAACAGGGCATTTTAAAGGGATAGCTTCTCTTTTCTTATGGTTTTCGTCACTTACACAGAATCACTGTCTGAGGACCAAAAGCAGAGGTGCTGGGTGGGTGTGGTGATGGAAGAGCCTTCCCTTTCTGTTACTCCAGTGCACCCACCCATAGGAGTGATGGAGGGGCAGGAGGGATAAACAGCCTCAACTAAAGATGGATATGTGTGTAGTTTGTATCC